GCATCTCAAGTAAGTAAGTGTATTTGAGACAAAAAAACCAATGGAACCATGACCAACACAGATTACACTGGACAACAAATTTTAGTTTTTTAATTGTATCTTGTGGGAAAAGTGCACTTCTTTGTTAATTTTGGGGCGCTGAATCCAAAAATGACAATGAAATTAAAAAATTAGTTGCGGTTTAGAAAAAAAACTTTTTATTTTTAAGGATATATTAAAAAAAGTAACAAGATTGTTTGTGTTTTCAAACTGTGTATCTTTCAAAATATTTCGAATCTGTGGCCCAACAAAAATACCTTCGTTAACCTTTGCCTCACTTAGTCTTGGAAATTTCTGACGCAGGTATTGAAAAGCTGACCCATCTCTATCTAATGCCTTGACAAAGTTTATCATTAGGCCCAACTTGATATGCAGTGGTGGTAATACATTTTTTTTCGAATATACTAATGGCATATGCTGTACATTTTTTTGACCTGGCTCTAGGAATTGACGAACAGGCCAGTTTTGGCTGTTCGCCACAAATATGCCATTGGTGCTCATCGTATTTTATGCATGTCAATAGGTACTTCATATTGTCATATGATTCTTTCATGTGAACTGCATACCCTACAGGAAGAGATGGTAAAATATTTCCAATATGCAATAACACTGCCTTTAAACTCAATGTTGAACTGTCTATAAACAATCTCCATTCTTCTGGCTTATAGTTTATATTTAAAGCCGCCAGTAAGCCGTTAATGTTACTGCAGAAAACCAAGTTATTCTCCATATTGAAAAATGGTTCTAAGTCTTTGTGGCGTTTACGAAAAACACATACCGAAACATCGTCTTCTAACAAGTTCCACTGCTGCAGTCTTGATCCAAGTAACTCTGCCTTACATTTTGGAAGTTCTAAATCTCTTACAAGATCATTTAATTCTGACTGTGTTATTTTGTGCGGTTGGTGGCATGACGTGCTCGGTATAAAATCAGGATCTCTTGACGTTGATGGCATATCTTCTTCCTGACGAATCACTCGATCGCCATGATCTGATTCGTTTTCTGATTCGCAGGTGAAGGATTCTGGTGGTTTTGGAATAGGATTTTCGTCACTGTGAGGCACAGGTCTCATCGCAGATGGTATGTTTGGGTAGTTAATAACCGATTTTTTTTCTTGGACATACCTGTGGCTTGTCCAACACAAGGTACCATGCAAAAGTAACAATCATTAATATGATTTGTAGGCTCTCTCCAAAGCATTGGGACAGCAAAGCGCATAGACCGTTTTTTGCCATTTAACCAGCTCCTCAGACTTGAAGCATATGTATTACAGCAGATGTGGGGTGCCCACTGTTTGTCTTGATCACCTAGTTTACAACCGAAATAAAGCTGATATGCCTTTGTTATTAGTGGAGTAATAGACCGTCTCTGAGACGCAAAAGTCACATCACCACACACGTAACAAAACTGATCTGGATTGTTTACACACTTTCGAGACATCTTGCATGAACGCTGTCAGCCAACTGAGGAAAAAATGGCTAATATAAAACAATATAATGTACACGTATGTATAACGTAACACAATCATGCCGATTACATCATCTTTCCTTGCCGAATATAAAAATGTAGCACGTGCATTCTTGTGAATTACACTATATTAACACTGTCACAGCAGGAACACATATAATTACCGTATCTCTAAAACTTGAACTAATATTTAAAAAATAAGTTTCATTCCGGTTTTAGCACATTAAAAATAGTAATATTTTGTTGATTTTATTTAGGATATTTTTTGGCTGTTGATCAGTGTTATTAGCACACACATCTTCACTATGCACCTATGCACTGCCGTTTCCTTCCAGCTATAGTATACAACTTACAGCTTAGATCTGCAATAATGCAGATGTTACATCACATCAGAGTCAAACATTGATAGCTCAAGCGTCATGACCTTTAGGCAACACGTGCAACTACAGAACGTGCACATCAAGTGAACAACAATTAGTTCTAAGTTGACATCTTGTAGAAAAACCTACATAATTTCGCGATACATAATGCCCCTGAGGTGCTTTCCTTATGGATCGGCTGAACGTCACTTTAGACTACGCTGTATCCCTTTCTAGGGACATAAAAAATATAGCCTAGAAATTCACAGGTCTTAGTAGGTCATAGTATGTGCCTCCTACGAGAGTGCATTTTGAAGATAAGCAATGGAAAACTGTATACCGTTCGATGTTACAGTGGAAGGTTCGATGGCTCGCGTCAAATTCCCTATCGTGACGTGGAAGTAATAAAAATATTGTTGAAGACTTTATAATTATTCTCGACAATCGAATTCGAATGCATGTTTTGGTTTCTTGGACTTGCCATGCCTTCTAATCCTTTGTTAGAATAGCTTGGGGCAATTTTATATTTACATATTACATGTTGTATGCGGAAATTATAGTTACCTTGAAAACTCACAGATATCATATTGCGTAATAATAGCTTCTTTCAAGAATTTACTGACTAGGCAGAACAAAAAAAATATAAGCGGTAGCTAGATTGCTGCAACCAGTGGCGGACTTGTTTGTATTCTAATTCACATTGACAAGCAGTAACCTGTACCATAAGCGAACGAAACTCGGTACACTTGGGTAATTTAGTTTAGTTTAGTAACCTTCTCTGGAAGACCACAGGATGGAAGTCTTAGGCTTAAATCTGTCCTCTTGATCCGTCAAATATATATTTTTTCTGTTTTTCGGAGCAGGACAATCGAAGATAAAATGCTCTCAATCTATTCTGTGTGCACTCTCTACATAGGGGCTTAATATACTCAACCATATATACTAAGTGACATATAAATCCGAACACCCAGTTTAAATGGTTTTATTTTAATAAAATTTTGAAGTACTTAATGAAGCATAATAAGTAAATGATAAAAATTTCAAAATGATTGCACTGCTTTAAAGCCCTTTGACCTTTAATAATGTGTGGATGCACCCTGATGTGCTACGCATTCTCCAACGCGCCTAGGCATGCTTCTGATCAGGTGGTCAATGTCCTCCTGTGGTATCTCATTCCAGGCAACCACCAACTCCTCTCGAAGTGCTTCTAGAGTCTGAGGAGGACGTTGCAAATTGAGCAATCTCCTACCCATCATATCCCACACGTGCTCAATTGGGGATAAGTCGGGAGATCTTGGTGGCCATGGTAACAATGTGACATCATTATGTTGAAAGAAGTCTATTGTGACTCTTGTAACATGTGGTCGGGCATTATCTTGTTGGAAAGTTGGATCTGCCAGGGTGTCAAGATAGGGTAAAAGATGGGGTTCTTGAACTTCGTGGATATAACGCTGCGCGTTCATATTACCTCTGATGAAGATTAAAGGTGACCTGGAACCATAAGCTATAGCACCCCAAACCATAACTCCAACAGTGTGATGAACATGTCTTTCAACAAAAAACTGTGGATTCCTCCTTTCACCACGTCGCCTTCTAACCCTGGCACGACCATAGTGCATGCCTAAACAAAATCGAGACTCGTCACTAAAGACAATACTGTTCCATTCCTGATCCCAGAGTGACCGTTGTCTGCACCACTCAAGGCGATTACGTCGGTGTTCTCGGGTTAAAGGGAGGACCCAGTGTGGCCGGTATGAAAACAAGCCAAAACTTCTCATTCGTCGGTAAACACTTCGCATGCTAATAGGTCTTCCGTGTTCTGCAAACCATTCATTTGCAATGGACCTGGTAGTGGAGAAACGGTCCCTTAAGGCCAATAATCTTAGGCGGCGATCTTCACGGTCTGTTGTTCTACGGCGGCGTCCAGTGCCCCTTGCTCTTTGCGCACGGCCTTCTCGAAGCCATGCCTGACAACACCTAACCACAGTGTCTACACTTCTTTGCACTCTAACTGCAATTGCCCGAAAAGAAAGTCCAGCTTCCCGAAGTCCCACTATACGGCCCCTATCAAACTCGCTAAGTTGACGAAATCCGCCAACGTTGATTCTTTACTGCGGCTGAAATATTCATTTTTAGAGCGTTAGTGAATTAAAAAAAGCAGTATAAAAACCGGAATGTCCAACTGATAAGGCTGAAAATTTTTGTATAGGTATTTCCTGAATAACCGCTGGTCAACCAAAAATCCAGTAGTTCTTTACGAGTTCACCCTGTAGGTGTGATGTCATGCGATAGTATAAAACACGAGGCGTTGGAAATCGCAAGAAAGCTTGACGCACTTTTGCAATTTCCAATAGATTTTGTACAATATATTTTCATTACAACACAAAAAAGAATTCAAGTTGCAAAATTATAAATAGTCGAGTTAACTTCACTTTCACAAATATTTACAGCAATATTGATGATAAATGGATTACATTAAAGGAAAGTTCCTTGTCTAAGGGATGTGAACAAACCGACATAAATGAGAAACACGGACTCGTGTGACGCAGATATGCTTAAGTAACGGAAAACTTGAGAATCGAAGTTCGAATATTATCGCGAGTTTAAAACTTTTATCGTTTAGATAGTTGTAGATTTTGAATATTGATTCACAGGTGGCGGAAATAAAATCGCTGGAACATAGTGTTACAACGTTTCAGAGTTTCCTGCTCATTTTCAGACATTGTTGGGAGATAATGGAAATTGGAAGATGTATGCGGTAAATGGTTATAAATTGTTGCATATTTGGAAAGACCTGCTATTATTAAGAAGCTGCTGATCTCAGTGATGCCATGCACCTGTTAGACATAAAAAGTTACACATATTTTTCTACATCTGTCATGGAAACAGAAATAAGATAGATTTGCTTTATATAGTTTGATATGCAGATGTTGAAGATTCATCGTACCTAAGTTTTTTTTTGTTGAACTCTAAGAACTTTTATATTTCAGTGATGTAATTTTTTCCTCCACTGATATGTCTTGTATGTAAAAGTTTTCTGACTTATTCAATGTCATTTTTCAATGATCTTTTAAATAAGCAATGTCCGTCTATAGTCTTCGATTATTGTCTGACAGATGTTTCTCTTATTTTCAGGTATTCACAAGATTGGTTCAGCCTCTGCCCCTTATTGGGCCCGTGGAAGATAGAGGAAGACAATTCAACGGCGACGAATGGTGCATTCTACATCGGGTCAGTATTTTTTTCCAAAAACTAGAAAGTCGTATGAGATTTTGGGGCCTGTTCAATTTTCTGAAACACCTTGTTCTTTTTTGTCCTTAACTGAAAGTCCTTGGGACTCAAAGCTCTATGGGTCCAACAGTTTTTGAACGAATCTCACATTTTCCTTTGAAATAGAAATATGACTTATTCTCGTATCCACAAATATACTGAAGGTTCGGGCAAAAAGTTATGCAGAAAAAATCTATTGAATAGTCTTCATTCATTTTTTTTGTTATACATATGCGTAGTTAACTTTTTTCTAAAAGGGGCTAATTTGTCCCACTCTCGTGCTAGCACCTACTTCTGCAACAAAATAAAAAATCCATGGAAATTATATTCATTCTGTTAGAACCCTATTACGAGCAAGGGTAGATCCAGCATTTGTGTCAGGAGGGATCACTGGATTCATGTTCAAGAAGACATTTGCTTCGGGGGGAGACATTACCCGTGTACAAATTTTTAAAAGAGCAAAAACGGCGGACATTTAGATTCTCTATGGAATGACACGTATATCTTGATGGCGATCTTTTGATTAAGCGACGATGCGTGAAAATTATTTAAGAAAAGCGCATTTCCAACGATGACTCCTTCAGGGTGTTTCGCAAATCAAAAGGATACAATACAAAAGTTTCAGAATAGTCCCAAGAGTCACCCATTGTCACCCATTTTCGGTGAATGTTTGGGCTGGCATGGTGAACGGTATGCTCATTGGACCATTTATTCTCCCAAATCGATTGGACGGGATGCAATACCTAGACTTTTTACGCAACATTTTGCCTTCCTTGTTTGCCTGCGTCTGCTCGGTAGCGCATCCGCTGATTTCATTTTCTGTTGGAGCGGTATGATTTCGGGCAGAGACGTACTTAGCCCTTCTTGTCAACTGGAGAGTGAGTACTTTTTCCTTAATTTTTTTTTTACTTGGTCGCCCTCGTTTCACTACACATTACCTTTGTTATTTTCAAGGGTAGTTGTTTCTGAAAAGGAAAACCCCAACTTTGCGGACACCCTGTATTTATAAATTAATAATATAGGATATGAAGAGATATGATAATAATAGAAATATAACGATAAACGTGAAAACCACAAACCCATCTTAAAAGGTTTTGAAGTACCACCCTGTACCAATTTTTACTACAAGTGCAGTACGTAAAAAAATCGATATGGGCAACAATGTCAGGATAATATTAAAGCCACTTACTTGGTGACGGAATGACAACGAGTTATCCTCCTTTGGCAAGAGATTACGGCGATATGATCGGATTGTCGGGGCCAATACGTATTTTTAGAAAAATGATTTGAGTACCTCCCATAGTCAACCGACTCATAACATGCACTACCTTAGGATTACGTCAATTATCCGCAGTGGTATCAATTCATCATTATTTATTTAGGATTTTTATAAACATAGTTTTAAGCACCCAGCAACCTATGTTTATACCCAGATATGCTGAGTTCAACGATTGTTACAAAAAGCAGTCCAGGATACAGGATATCACGTTGTCCAACGGGCGGTTGTGTCAACATCCAAAGGCTCCGTCCGACATTACCTCTCAATCACAGACAACCGAGCAAGATGACAATCTTTAGAATACGCACATCCTGCCATGAGATACATTCAGACGCCAGCGATTACCAAGAGAAGATGGTCAAGCAGTCATTCAGACCCAGGATGCCACGTGGGCCAAATACCATTGTGTCAACATCCCAAGCGCTCCGATGTTTCCCCTGATAGAGGAAACCGAGCAGTAATTAACATAACCACCTAAACCAAGCAAACGGGCTCCGAAAGTCCCACAACAACCCCTAGAAACTGGAGGCGTCACACCTGTATGAGCCACTTAATTTCCCTATCCTTATCCGCGATTATTGAGTCCGTAAGCTATTAATAGAAAAGCATCTTTATAAATACGGGTATATGATCAGATCATCTTCATAAATATAGATATATGATCAAAGCTCCTTTATAAACATGGACATATGATCAAAGCATCTTTATAAATATGAATATATGCTCAAAGCATCTTTAAAAATAAGGCTATATGATCAAAGCTTCTTTATAAATATCGCTTACAACATTTATGGTCAGGAATATAAAAGTGTTATAGTTATCATTCCATGCAGTACAGCAGAATGAAGGAAATACTCAGTAATTGCTCACTTTTCAAGAAACCAAAACACTACACCCAATAGCACATCAACACTGTAATTAGGTCCACAATGCGCACTACTTGGTCTGAGGAGCGATTACTTCCACGCACTATTTGAACTGAGATGCGTGCCACGCCTGCGTTTTTTAAGAATGTTTATCCTGGAAACAAGTACCCAGAGAAGGAATGGGATGTATAACGTAAACAGCCTTAAGGGCCGTCGTGCTGAGTGTCACTTACCAGACTTGTGGACCTTCTGGAAAGATTTCGTGTGCTGGAGAGTTGAACTCGCACGCAAAAATGTGTTTGAGATATTTCGTAAGCTTACAATAATAAATTTACCTGGATAGTACGGAATCAATCTGTTTAACGCCATTTTCTATTCTTTCCAGATCGTTTTCTTCCTTACAACCGAAATCCGCCATGTACTCGGAAGACCAAGAATCCCACGGACTGTTAACCTTACATTATGGGAAACACCACGCCACAATTGTAGACGAAATCAAGACTTGCTTTGCATCGGAGAATTTCGCAGACATGACTTTCATATGCGATGATAAAACAACCCTTAGCGCTCACAAGCTTGTAATGGCGTCGGCGAGTCCCCTAGTTAGGCGAATTTTAGGGGAAACAGTACATGCGCATGGGCCCAGCGTCGTGCTCATTCCTGGAATCAAGAGCTGCCATCTGAAACACCTCCTCGATTTCCTTTACAATGGACAAGCCTGCATCAAGGTCAGTGACAAACTTGCTCTAATATGTTCCCTAATGTCTTAAATGTGATATGGGATGGTAAAGCATTCAAAAACGTATATTTTTCTATTTATGTACGAGGGTTGTTTCAAAAATAGGGTTCCCACATTTTTTTCAGGCACAAGGAATTGTTTATTTGAAAAAACGAATTCATCACTGGAAACGCTGGACCAGAAAGTGGGCCGATAAGATCTGGATTATTGTTTCTTGACCTTGTTTCATTTGATATATGTTCATAAAGTGCGGTCCTTGCACCCTTTATCTGAAAATTGGGTGGGTTTTCGCGTACTTTGGAGGGCTTTTGGCGTTTTCGGGACGTTGTGCGAGGGTGGCGTATCTCGTACATTAAAAAACAATGCTCGCTTGTCGTTTTGGAGTGCTGGAAGTTCTCTTTGGGAATAGGAATGCCTACCCCATGCGGTCTTGGCTGTACTAGTTTTGCACGGTGCGATCCAAAAATTATGACGGAATTATGACTTCGTGCAATCCCAACGAGAAACGTGATGCCTTGGCCATTATTAATCGATATACTAAAGATTAGCTGTATTTTCGGAAAATATTAATGCTAGCAAATCACATCTAATCGGCAGATTGAAAGACAATATTGTCCCTCTTTCATGTCAAAATAAAAAGTGAATCTATACCTTGATCAGTCACTGTGAGAAACTTAGGAGTAGAATTTGACTCAAATCTAAGATTCAATAGTAAATGCATTCAGAAAGCTTATGTCCTCCCTGTTCAATTTAAAATATTGCTGCGCGAAGTACTAGTACTAAGCCATTTTAATTGTTCTTATAGCGTACATGGGTTTTATTTAGATAAGATTGACAGAATTGAGCATGTACAGAAGTCCTGCTAAGATTCATTTAGGGTCTACGCAAGTTTCAAAGAGTTTCATATAAGTTGCTGGTCGAATATGCCACGCGACGGGAATTACTTGCATGTCAGCTCCACAAAATTTTGTTTTTTAAGCAACCACCGGATTTATTCGATAGGATAACTTTTCGAACCTTGTTTATGATTTGCATTTGTAGTTTCGGGGCTACATATCACTTCCTGCTCATCAAACCTCTTATTTTTGTAGATCTTTCTCATACAACATTTATCGGCCTTGAAATTCTGCATCCTAAATATACTAAGTGACATATAAATCCGAACAACCAGCTTAAATGGTTTTATTTTAATAAAAGTTGGTGAATGTATTTATCTTACTGTAAATAACAAGTGAAAAAATTTTCAGCCTTATCAGTTGGACATTCCGGTTTTTATACTGTTTTTTTTTAATTCACTAACGCTCTAAAAATGAATATTTCAGCCGCAGTAAAGAATCAACGTTGGCGGATTTTGGTTCTTGACATCCTTTACGATCGGTTACGATGCCTAGAGTACGGAGACCTGTACGATTTCGTCAACTTAGCGAGTTTGATAGGGGCCGTATAGTGGGACTTCGGGAAGCTGGACTTTCTTTTCGGGCAATTGCAGTTAGAGTGCAAAGAAGTGTAGACACTGTGGTTAGGTGTTGTCAGGCATGGCTTCGAGAAGGCCGTGCGCAAAGAGCAAGGGGCACTGGACGCCGCCGTAGAACAACAGACCGTGAAGATCGCCGCCTAAGATTATTGGCCTTAAGGGACCGTTTCGCCACTACCAGGTCCATTGCAAATGAATGGTTTGCAGAACACGGAAGACCTATTGGCATGCGAAGTGTTTACCGACGAATGAGAAGTTTTGGCTTGTTTTCATACCGGCCACACTGAGTCCTCCCATTAATTCGAGAACACCGACGTAATTGCCTTGAGTAGTGCAGACAACGGTCACTCTGGGAACAGGAATGGAACAGTATTGTCTTTAGTGACGAGTCTTGATTTTGTTTAGGCATGCAAGATGGTCGTGCCAGGGTTAGAAGGCGACGTGGTGAAAGGAGGAATCCACAGTTTTTTGTTGAAAGACATGTTCATCACACTGTTGGAGTTATGGTTTGGGGTGCTATAGCTTATGGTTCCAGGTCACCTTTAATCTTCATCAGAGGTAACATGAACGCGCAGCGTTATATCCACGAAGTTCTAGAATCCCATCTTTTACCCTATCTTGACACCCTGGCAGATCCAACTTTCCAACAAGATAATGCCCGACCACATGTTGCAAGAGTCACAATAGACTTCTTTCAACATAATGATGTCACATTGTTACCATGGCCACCAAGATCTCCCGACTTATCCCCAATTGAGCACGTGTGGGATATGATGGGTAGGAGATTGCTCAATTTGCAACGTCCTCCTCAGACTCTAGAAGTACTTCGAGAGGAGTTGGTGGTTGCCTGGAATGAGATACCACAGGAGGACATTGACCACCTGATCAGAAGCATGCCTAGGCGCGTTGGAGAATGCGTAAGCACATCAGGGTGCATCCACACATTATTAAAGGTCAAAGGGCTTTAAAGCAGTGCAATCATTTTGAAATTTTTATCATTTACTTATTATGCTTCATTAAGTACTTATACAAAATTTTATTAAAATAAAACCATTTAAACTGGGTGTTCGGATTTATATGTCACTTAGTATATTTCGACTCTAATCATGTGTTTTGTTGTTATAGTCCAGCGAACTGGATAGCATCCAAGAGCTGTTCGAGTTGCTCCAAATCAAGTCTGATATGTGGCAGTCTTCGACGACAGAAGAGGCCAAGAGTCAGTCTGAAGACGAAAGCAGCTGGACAGCCACGGAAAACGGAAATGGTGAACAGGTTTCAGTGAAAAAGGAAAATGATGACGACGAAAAGGAGGATGGCGAAATAAAAGATGATGAAGATGATGACGATGAAGATACGGCTGATGGCAACAATGAAGAACAAAATTCAGGCTCTCCAAACCCAGTCAATTTGTCGCTTAATACGAAAAATTCGGAAAACGAAGAAAAGGAAGAGGAATTCAAAAGTAATTTGGAGGTATATTAATTATTTAATATGTGTGTATATTTTTGGGAGCAATGTCCTATTTAAACAATGAGCCACTCAATTTTTCCCACGAACGTTTCTCTTCAAAAGAATAGGCCATAAAGGCGTCCTACAATTGAAGAACGACTGATGATACTGCCCTTAAGACGTATGCCAGACGTAACTAATTATCTGAAAGACAAAAGATGAGGCATTTACAGATGCTTTAGTCTAACTTCTTGAAATGTAATTTTTGGCATGTAGAGTTATACCTATGTAATGGGTGATTTTTTTGCTAGTATCTTTTTGACAACACTGTTTTTGACAGATGACGCGTGAATCGTGTCTTGTGTCATTGTCAAACTTGTTCAGTTTGGTCTATAATTTAACCATGAATCGACTTACGAACGAAAAATGCTTGCAAATTATTGAATTTTACTATCAAAATTTATGCTCGGTTAAGAGAGTGCATCGAGCACTGCTTCCAATTTATGGGCAATTTGGTCGGCCTACTGAGGGAGCTATTCGGAAGCTTGTGACTAAATTTCGAACCCAGTTTACATTATTGGACATTAAACCACCAACACGCAGACGTAGAGTGAGGACTGAAGAAAATATTGCGGCTGTATCCGCCAGTGTTAGTGATGACCCTGAAATGTCGATTCGCCGCCGTTCGCAGCAATTGGGCCTCTGTTACTCCACTACGTGGAACATTTTGCGACTCAGAATATGGCTGCCTCATAACAAGAAAGCTAATTCACGAAGCTGCAGAAAAAGGATACAAAATTGAACTGGCTTGGATCCCAGGACACTCCAACATTAGAGGAAACGAAACGGCAGACACTCTAGCTAACTCAGGAAGACAACTCAGAATCCCACAAGATACGAAACTTACCATACCCGATATACTAACTAAGGCCAAAACAAAAATAACGGATAAATTCACAACAATGTGGAAACGAACATTCATCAACAAAGGCAGGTGGTATAAGAAAATACAAGAAGAATACCCGGTCAAACCATTTTACTACAAAATCCCGTATATAAGCAGAAGACACCTAGAAGAAGAGACATGCAAGATATAAAGCACACATGTTCAAAATAGGAATGGAAGATGACCCTTTCTGTGATTGTGGACAATATGCAGATTTAAATCATATACTATTAGAATGCCCAATAAATTAAATATTAGGTTTTAACCTCTTTGAAGAGATAAGAAAAGCTGGATTCAATGCCCCCTTTAACATTCAATTAATACTTTCAAACATCAACATGAAAGTCAACAAACAAAATAATATTATAACTGTTTCAGATCCCAATCTTTTAAAACCCTGGTTGCTAATCCTTTTCCGAGGCAACATTTAGGGTGTGTGTAATGTACCTCCGCTGTCCGGGTACGAGAAAAGTCTATACCTGTGTTGTGCCATCTGTCTGACTAACCTCCCCACACCACTTTAGAAAACATAAGTAAAGGTTTTCATCAAACATAAATAGCAACATCCCAGCTCTAGAAATAATACAGCAGAAGATATAGATATATTTTACAGCATTTCTACACGAGAATTCTAGACAATACAGTGACTTGTACATGGCTGAGAGCCAGACAAAGTACAGTCACAACAAATGAGCTGTGTACAGAAGCCATAAGGAATAAAGAAGAAGAAGAAGAGTACATTGGTTTAAATAGTGAACGGAATAGATCGTTAAATCGCGTGTTTTAAGGAAAATAACGAAAAGCTAACATGAGACAACACTGTGCTCTTTATGATAGCTTATGAAAATGACCCATATTCACTGTGTAATGGTATAGGGCAGTCAAAGTAGTCAAAGCAGGATTTAAAATGAAGCAGGAAGTGCTTGACTAATTCGTTGTTAATTTAGAACGCTAAAAATAGGCCCTAAAAATGAGATGACATTTTTGTCGAAATGCGTAAGACACGGTTTTGTCATATGAAAAGACTATTTGTTACTTTTCAAAATAATTTGCATCATATTCACAAGATTCAGGAACCAATCATTAAACCAGTGTTTCCACTGCCAGTGCCGGATTAAGCCAGCCCGGGGCCTGCAGCAAATTACATCAAGGGCCCCAGGGGCGGGCCCAGAGCGAAGGTTTGAGCGGGTGGATAAGGAAAACGGCGATTGCAAATTTGAAGAGCGAGGGGGAGCCGGAGGCTGCATCAGTGGTATTTCCCCCAGGAGAGATACTTTCATAAAACGTTGATGTGCGGGGCCCTCAAATGCACGGTAGCCGTAGCGCTTGCTACACTTGTTAATCAGCCACTGCCCATTGCTTCTTCTTAATTGAATCACACGTCTCCCTGCTCGTCTTCGAATGCATAGCCGCGCTTTCTCCGCTACGACTTCGCAAACTAAAAAAGCCAAATCGCATGGCGCCAATTCAGGGCTATGAAGTGGGTGATCTGACATTTGAATTTCAGATTCTTCATAAAACTAGTGAGTTCGTGCGTCGTCGATCTGTCATAATCTTGAAATTTCCACCGTTGCAAATAGTTGTAGCAAACAATGTTATTACTTCTGTAATACTAACTGGATTAGTCAAGTTTCGACTCAAGCACAAGCACAAAATTTCGCTGGCTCGCATCATTGCCTCCATCAATAGATTGGAGTAGCTGATGATCCACCTACCGGGGAGGACCTCAGTGCTGCTTCAATACGAAGTAAGGTATTATTGATGTATTTATTTTTTCAGAAATCGGAGCAAAAAGAATCGGACGTACTAAAAATTGGTCAGACAACAGTAAAGATAGCAACGAAAGTCCACGAGCTGTCTCAATACCAACAGCGAATGAAACGGAAAAACACCTACATAGAGCCCATGGATTTGAAGCAACAAGAAGATTTCTCACAATTGAAGCCACCAATAGGCGACCAAAAGCTTATATCGCTAGTACAAAGTCCAGATAACTACGTTGTAACTCCTCATAGGAAACGTCGCCCTGGCTTTCACAACTCCCCTGCTCAGAATCCACCTTTTGTTCCATTTTCACCTTCTTATATCGATGATACTGCTCTACATCAGCATCGATATAAGACCCTTCCTCCCTTGCTAGCTGCACATCACCCTCTATCTCTATCAGCACCACCCTTTTTAGTTGATAGGACTCATACCCCAACGCCTGGCCAACATCCTGACACCTCCGGAGCCCAAGAAAACGTTGTGGTCAAATATAGGTAAGTTTTTTCTGCAGATGGATGTATTCGTTATATGCGAAGTGGCAGAGGTGTGAAATAACTGGAGTGTCAATCTTCTATATTTCGCACTAATTTTGCTAAACATTTTCTCATGTAAAAACGTTAAAACTATCAAAATTAGTCACAAATCTTGTGCAGCAGAGCTTGCTCCAGCTCTTTCGCGTCTCTTCCAAATATCTCACGAATCCGGCACCTTCCCAGAAAATGTTCGATGACTCTTTCGCACCGAAGGGTCCTCGGCGATCTTTCTCCCTTCTACCGCTACGCCAACGGGCTTTGCTTCGCAGAGCTCTCCTCCATGATGCAGCGGCGCGATGTGCCTGCAAGACAGATCCGCCTGACTTCGGCCTCCGATCCTACCCGTGTCGAACCTCGTACATTCAGAACCGCTCGTTTGTCTCTAGGGTATCGAGATTATGAAAGAATCTACATGAACAGGCTTTCCCAGTTCACCTTTGGTCGAACGTACAAAAACATTAGTTTATACCTTTTCATGTTCACTGGGAAACGGATTCTAATCAACATAAAAGTGTCGGAAATCACATCTTATTTTCTTGCAGACCCCCGAGTGCAGACCAGGGCTTGAGCGCAGAGACATATCAAAGCTTCGAACACACATGGGGCGCCTGGTCTCTCTGTCAAACCCAAGTGAATGCTCCAACAGGCAGCGAAGACCTTCGGGAGCCCACGTCAACGTTTTCATCAAATGTCAGTGATGACGTCAACGCCGAAGGTTCCTCCCACGCAACTGGTAGCGGCAAACCGACTCTCCCGACCGTGCAAGTGCGTGAATACCGGTGCGAATATTGTGGTAAACAGTTTGGCATGTCGTGGAACCTAAAAACTCACCTTCGGGTACACACTGGCGAAAAACCGTTCGCTTGTAGGTTATGTGTCGCGATGTTCAAACAGAAAGCGCATCTTTTAAAACATTTATGTTCTGTGCACAGAAATGTGATATCTTCTAACGACGGGAATTCGTGCAGGTTTAACTGTTGTTTTTGTCCGCTGTCGTTCGAATCCCTGCCAGAGTTGATCAGACATTTATCTGGACCTCATAATAACTTGTTGCTAAGTAAGAATATGCATGAGCTTAAATAGTCTCTCAAGTCAAGGGTGTGAAAATAATGTTCTGCCAGAAAAAAATGTGAAAGAACATATTTTTTGCAAAAGCAAAGAGAAAAGTTCCAGCAACTCGAAAAATTCCCAGAAAGACAACCAACGAAATGACGACAAAGGTTGCGCACACGATACTAGAAAATTTGCCTTTTATCTTTAATTGAATGCCTCTACGGGTAGATAAATGTATGGGTTCATAATCAGGTTCCTCGATCTCTTAAATGGTTATAATGGTAGATGTCGTTCAAACTTCACAGAAATATGTGCCAGTACACTACTCTGAATATATATAGAGATCTCTATAAATTGTGACCTACCGCTAGTAACACCTTAAGCCTAGATCTCTAGAACGCTCATCTAACTTAACCCTTTGCGGTCAAGCTTATATCTTTTTTATAATATCGTTCACTTTATATTATAGATATAAGTACTACCAGTACGCCATTTTGCTATCGTCATCCAATTTAACGGCCTTTCGTCCCTTCAAATTAAACTTTGGATCAGTAGTAGCTCCAGTTTTCTTCTTTTCATGCACCACCCTGCGAATGGTCCACTCTGGAACGCCTGTCATACTTTCACAACGCGCGAGTGCATCTCCCTGCGACATAGTTCTGTTCAGATAATTAAACACGTTGAGGACGATTTCTTTCGCGTCCCTCTTCAGTGCTTTACGAAGCCGTCTACTTGTTCCCTGGCTTTCAGTACTTCCACTCGTGCCATTTGTACTCTCCATGGTTAAGTATAACCAAAAAAGTAACCACAGCAACCACAACAATAACAATCACACAACAATTCTTATAAAAACACACAATATGCGATCGCTCAACGAAACACGTTCCAATGCGTTGCCGACGCCTATGAGTCTGCCGGTCGAGGCGCGTCTTTGATTTCATTGGTTCTACCGGCGGAGAACAATCAGCCATTATTTCCATCTCTGTCTGTGCTGTTGACCACCGCAAAGCCACAGAAACGACATATGTCGTACGCTATACGGCTGTACTGGAAGGAAGCCGGGATCGAGCTCTGATCACGTGTTGATCACGCGTATGAGTCATTACAGTTTTAAATAGTTGTAGTATAGTAAATATACTAGTGAATATAAAATGATCTTACAAATTCATGCAGTTGATATCACCAGTATTACACAGCCGGTCATCATAGATACTATACATGGCAACACTGGCTTGAGAATGCATGCCTAATGAAGAGACTTGACACTTTAATTTCTAGTATCGCCCGATTTATCAAATCACACAACATTCGGACCAATAAAACCATTGATTAAGATATCATTAAACCGGTCATTTACATTTCCTGAGATGCCTTAGCTGCGCAGTACTCGTTGTAACATACTTTTTATGTATAGTTGTTATCCTTGAGGATGTGCTATTTCTGGAAAACTGACTAGCACTTACGATATACCAATATATGGCAAAAATGCAGGTTCTTTCTACTGTTGTACTATACTTGTATTACACAACGTGACAATTCAGCAAAACAACCTTTGCAATATTTTGTTGGGTATCTTTTCATTGCTGATGAAAAGCCTAGATCATGGGCAACTAGTAATTATCATTATCAAAATACCATCAGGATCCAAGTAAATTGTCTATGCATTGGTGGTCATACCTGAAGATCAGTAGGGTGCAAAATATTTATGACTACTGTTTCAAATGTAGTTTTGATCAAAATTCAATAAGGAGAAATATGTGAAACTGGGCAAATTTTTTGTGAATTTAACCGCAAGCATCGTGTGCGTAATCCGTTAGAAATGTATGTGTTAGTTTCCATTTTTACGTCTTGGGAACGTATGACATCCCGTGACCAAGAGAATGACACAGCTTTATATTTACATCCTTGTTCTAATGTAACATTCCATTTAATGTACCAATGAGGACGTAAACAATACTTTTGGAACGACCTCATGTTTAATTTTGTGATATTTTGAACCTTTCAGTGCCTTTTATAATTTTCTGCGCTGACGCAAGGTATACTTGGCTCACCTAAGGCCAGTTTACTTACTTATAGTAATATTTACTAGTATTTATTGAAATATATTTCGTCTTTTTTAATCCAAAAAACTTTGATGGATCCAGCCGGTTGCGGGCAACACCTGACACTTATGTGCTATCTACTACCATCAGCTTCATATATCTGAAAGAGACTTTATATAATATTTCTAATCCCAATTGGAGCAGATTCAAAACAGTGCCCTGAAAAGGGGAATTCTACATAAATAGACGGTATGGCAGAATATATACATATTAACTTACTTAAAACGTCGAGGTCAATCTGGCCGTTCTTGATATATCTCAAATTTTGCGTATTTCTGTCTTTGCCATAAGATTTTAAATCGGAAAGTTGTAGTAGGGGACCTAATTTAGTATATTCAATTCCGGATTTGGATAACAAATTATACAGGGTAGTCAAAAAAGAGAAGAGCAGTCAGTTGGACTTTAGAAAGCATTAAAAATAAAGTTAATTAAGTGTAAGGTATATATGGAAATAATGGCTTTCACCATGAGGTCAGTTGGTCAAGACGGAAATCTGTTGCACTTCTAAGGATATGATACTATATATAGCCGCACTATGGTCTTCTTATGGTAAAAACCGTAAGAAGCACTTAAGCAAGAATAAAATATTTCGATCCATATGCACGATCGGAAACTGCAATTTCCGATGTAGACGACCCTATGACACCCTGTACTATTTTTTATCCAAATCTAGATTATAGCATACTAAAATGTCCCTACTATCAACAAACACCCGTTAAAAATCATATGGGCAAAAATACGAGGAAAAATTGGACTTTGAAGTTGAGTCATTAATTTTCAGATAATGATTGTAGAAGGAAGATAAACCAAAATATGTGTGTAAAAATTAAAAAAAAGTAAAAAAAAAATGTTACCTTGTTTTATAAAGTATCCTCCCGACAAGTATTTCAGTGCGGACCTGTATTTGATCGTGCGGTCTTGGAGAACCGGCAGGTCTTAAGTCACCTGATTCACGAGCCCTTTGTACTACATTAACAAAGGCACGAGGGGTTGGTTGCACTCGATTGGGGAACCGATTCGCACAAATCCGTGATGCCGCGGCAGCATTTTGTAAAGACTCCCCCCCCGTAAATCAGAATCATGTCCACAAGTTCAGCATTTTCGTAAACATGTGCCATTTTTTATTTCGTTTGAGCCACGGAACAAACACCACTACGCGTTACTGACTGACGAAAAACATCGTGATAAACGTTTCAAATTCTTTCGCTTTTTTGTTTCCGATGCGATGAACCGGTCAGGCGGATTATATCCGTTGTCGCCAAACACGAGCATATTATAGTATTATTGAGACAGGGCGGTACTCAAACTTCTAAAGGGTTATAACTTTGTTAATTTAATTTTACCAGAAAAGTGTTAAAGGAAAAAAACATTTCTTTTGATCAGATCTACTCACTGTTAAAATAAATGACTCAACTTCGAAGTATATTAAGAATCTCGCGTACAAATTAAATAATATACCGTCCTATTTAAAACAAGCAAGTTGGTACCTACTTCCTGTACATACCGATATCGCCACGATTTTGAAAATATTTTAGCTAAAATTTTCCTTTTTGATTAACTAATCGATCGTTGTAGTTCTACGGGACACCCTGTATAAAAACTGATGAATTGTACCTCCTAGGTTTTGCAAAAGAAGAAGCGCTACAGTGGATCAACCGTGTTGCGAATGTGCCTGAGGTAATCACCCCTAAAAGAAACAATAAAAACAAATATTTTTTCATAACCCGTCATCTAAATACTCAAACTTTAGCGTCGGGCCTGTTATTGAAACATGACGTTTTGTAAAACATTTTAGTTGAAGGATTCACATCTAAATTACTGCTATATTAAATTCGCTTACTATAAATTGCGGTTTCGATTAGGAATAGAAATATTATGCATTGTTGTCTTACCTATACTGTGCTGATGATTCGTAAGGAGGGTGAAACGGCGCCGTACACGGTTGGTAGGACGAAGGAAGGTAGTCTGTTTTATGCGGTATCATTATTGCGATGTGTAACATTAGCTGGCTGTCAGTTTGACGCGTTCCTAGGACGTTAGTTAATGACCTGGTATTCCTAGGACCAGTTTACCTTGCGTTACAATCACTGAGTTGTAACATTGGAATAACCCGTTGCAAAAAAGCCGGACAATTGCATGCACAGTTACTTATAGGATGTGAATTGTGTTATAGATCTCTGCATGCATTAGTGTTTTAGTTATTTTCGCAAAAAAGACAATGACTGTGTTCTATAGGTACCTACTGCCAAAGACATGGGGTGTAGTAGGATTATTTTGTAAGTGTTCTAAGCAACGGTATAAAATGTGTAGCAATCCTATCTAGTTTTTTGTTAAGGCTGAAGCTATCTGTTCTTTCAAAGCGATCAGTCACGTATGATGTCATGTGATCTCTTTTTTCTAAACCCTTAAATCTCAGAGTCACACTTATAGACGTTTTTTAAGAATAGAGTGCTCTTTGCGGAATGATTTCTCCTTGAAGAACGTTCATGGGAGGATTTATCATTTACATTTCACAGTAGGCTGTACCAGTGAACATTGCAATACTGGTTGCCTATATATAGCCTAGTCGCTCGGCTATAAAATCGCTATTCGCTATAAAATCGAAAAAGTAATTACTTTTCGTCACTATTTTATGTTGCTTATTAACATTCAGGCAGTAAAGAAAAATCTGACAACCTATCATGACAATTGTGACAGCCAACTGGGAAGTGTAAATGTTAAATCCGCCGTTGGACATTCTCCAAGAAAGCATCATTGTTCGTTGAAAAACCAAACGGTACTCTGTCATCGAGGGACGTTTATAAGTGAGTCGAATGCATATGGAGCCTATCTACCAGAGCAGTCGGCGAACGAGTATGTGATGGAGTATATGATGAAGGATTTACGTGCGCATGCGCAATAACTTGGCCATTAGTTTTCGAGGTCGTCTTGTGCAGCATGGGCGTCTATTCTCCTGGTATGCAAGCTCCATGGTCGAATACATAGTTGTTCCTCCACTTGAGGCCTACTTTATAGTGACAGGACAGTTGTCAAATTCTCAAGAAAAAAGTCAAGATATCCTTATTGTTGTTACATTAAAAAAGGTTTCTTATTCGATAACTTCCTTAAATCAACAAAATTCAAATTAATAATCGATAGCCATATGTAATAAAAAGGCATCATATTGAAAAAGGTCACTTTCTTTGATATTTGACAATTATCGTCCTGTTATTCTAAGTGACAAGGTAAATAATGTGGCCTCACAATAAAAGGGCTTTAGAGAGTGACTTTGAATCCATCACAAGTGACGTCGAAGTTCGGAAAAAATTCAGCTTTAATGCCCTGACAAAATACTGCGAAGGATTTACACTTATTTTTAATAATCGAAACTGGGCATGTCTAATATTATTACCTCTTATCTCTTGTTTCGTCATTTTTGGAACATGTTGCAAGATACGTTGGAGCCTAAAATCAGGATATTGTATAATATACTCGGTGTTTCCGAGATATGGGGCAAAACATCAAGGGATAATTTTTTGGGCTACTCTAAAAATACTTTGTCAGTCTAAAAAACTAACACTCAAATGTTTGCTCCATGCTTTCGAAACACCCTGTAAATGACTTTAGTAAACAAATTGCATATCTAAAACAAATACAGGGATATACACAGGCTCGAAATAAAGTTTCTACGCTCAAACATTGCTTTAGGTTTAGGGGTCTAACGCTGATGTTCAGTTCCTAAAGGATTCCAACGTATTTTCAAACAAGTTCCATATAGAGCAAGTGCTGGAAGCAACTATATATTTATGCAAAATATAATTATTTGGATCAAAGTTTCTTTCACAGTCCAGCTTATCATGAAAAAAAAAAACGGCTGCTGAAACCATAAATTTGTGTCAAGGCCGCTCTGCATTCTGTATATTGCCTAAGCAGCACAACCACAAAGTCTTTAAATACATGTGGGAAAGTACGTGTAGCCACAACATATGTAACCCAGTAGATACACTCGGGCAAATTTCTCAGTGCAATGTTAGACGCCGCCACGCCCACCGTCGTTTACAGCATGAATCGGCGTAAATCAACGTTTTCTCTATACACGCTCGGCAGAGAAAAATGCCAAAAACAAAAGAAATTAAAATCGCTCAAACCTCGTTTTTTACGTTTCAAACGATCCTGACCATTTTTCGAAAAAAATTGTATTTGTTAAAAATTGGCGCTTAGGGATTGCAAGGGGTGAGGGTATATCTCATTTGTTTGACGTTGGTATATGTATACGCTTACAACCCCAGTAATTCTACGAACATATTAGGCATATTTTACTCATCATTTACCCTTAAAACAGAAATATCTGCTACAATCGGGTGTCGATACGTGCGAGATGGTTCCCAGGATGGACAAGCGTCGTCGTCAGAGGCCATACGTCATAGTCGGCAATGCTGTGGTGTTGTGTGGACTGGGCTGCGTGCGCTGTGCATGGTCAAGGTCAATATCGTCAGTCCCGCGGCATTTGTCATTTAATTTTTTGTTATACACGTTCGTAGCTAACTTTTTTCTCAGAAGGGATAACTTGTACCAAACATAATCCTTTACGGACTGATGACAGTGTAGCGCGGGAAGTACCTAGTCAACTTACCTGACTCCATTTTCACTTGTTCCTGCACCACCACTGGTGAGAGCATTCCAGGTGTTCTGTCATCGCAGTACCTTTGTCTCAAAATTGCATTAGAGTCCGAGCAGTAGCGTTGAAGTTATTTTAAAGACCCTTATTCAGAGTTGTTCTACTGGGCCGCTGTGGTTTGGCCTGCTTTTTTACTAGAGAATCCTTCAGGTTTTTACTAGAGAATCCTTCAGGTTCTCTAGTGATGAAGTAGCGAAATACTGCCTGCCTGTTTCCAGCTTCAAATTAATTTTAGTGAAATTTGTTGGTTACTTTGAAAGAAAAATCAAAATATCGTTTCCCAGTGCATGCTCTAATACATCAATCCAGTATTATCAATCAGTGGTTCAAGTCGACAATCTCACATAAACTATGTTGTAGTTTAACATAGACATAATTTTCAACCGAAGTTGTGTTCAATTTGACTTTACGTACCTAACTAAGTGATGCGTATAACAATCTCGATAAATCCAAACAATATGTACAGCTGGTTCGATTTTTAACAAAATATCACTTTTTTCTTGTTCAACATAGGATACGATACATGAAATTTTGCTTACCGGTTTTTCTAGTAAATTGGCCATCTTACTCGTTTTTTTTAAAACTCCTTCCGGGTCCAAAACTCTGTAAGAGTCTAAGGTTACATATCTACAAACTGCCGCAAATTATTTATTCTTTCATTCATCAATTTTTTTTTATCATAATTACGCTTTTTGGATGGCTCTTCACATAAATTAAGAGGTTATCGGGCGATAACCCGGTGCAAATTTGCTTGAACAATTTTTTCACAACACAAGTAATTGTCATTTTGTCTCCGAAAAAAGTTTTTTCAGATTTTTCGAATCGTTGTGAACAAAAAAGCTGTTTAGAGATATAGCCTGAAAATCCTAAAAATGCTGCAACCTCAAAAATAATAATTTTTCATCGTGCTTTCAAACATGGCATTGGCATTTTTAAAGGTTTTCAGATAAATTGCTTAAAACCCTAGAAAAAATCTAAAACTAAGAACCTTTTTTGTTGTTTGTAAATAGGTATGTTCGAACAATTTTTGAACAACTCGCGAAAGAATAGTATTTTCGCCCGGAACTGTTTTTTTTGTTTTTTTATAGTCAGAAATACTCCATTAAAAATCATTAGTTTTGAGGTTGAGGACTTTCTAAATTAAGGTTCAATCATTTCCCTACAAGAAGCGTATTTTATGCTTAGTTTATTTTAAAGCATTATTCACCAGTGAACCAAAGCTTACGTCATGCAACTTTGGGGTAAACTCATCCAGTCTTATGGTGAGGCTTATTATGTTGCTCTTGATACCACATCCAAAACTGGCCGATACGACCGCTCCTTTGCCCTGAGGGTGTCGATATTGTGGAACAATCTACAAGAGACAGCTTTTCCCAGTTCTAGTAACCTCAGGCAGTTCAAAAATCGAATTAGCAAAATTTATTTGGGATCCTCATAGCAGTCGCGAAGTCCTGGCATTTAGACTTCTGCCTGCGCGGCAGCTACGGTATATAAAAAAATTGAAAGCGAAAAAGCGGTGTACGAAGCACAGACATGTGCGGCCTATAGCGCGTTATTATTTATTGAGTAACAATGCTTTTAAATAAACTAAACCCAAGATACTTCTCGAAGTCTTCTACGGGAGTGATGTAACTTTACCTTAGAGACTCAAAAACTATAATTTCAAGCATTGAAAATGACCATTCACAGAGTGTTTCAGACTTTAATTCGCTTATAAGTGCTGCAAAATAAGTTCTCAAAACATCAAATATTTTTTGAAGAAAGAAATGATAAGTATGAATCTAATTTCCTTCAAGCACATTTTCGAAAAAAGGGATGGGACCAATCGTATCGTATCCGCAATTTTTTCCGATTTATTTTCCCCATGTATCCGATTGTCATTATTTGTAATAGTAAATTACAACTAAAATAATGAAATATCAACTTTGTTATACACATCGCAAGTAAATTTGATCTTCGTATTAACGAAAAATGCTAATTTTGCTATGTTACCTAGCTATTTTTTACAGAGTGATACTCCTGTGTAGGTACAATTTTGATTCTTTAATCTCGGTATCAGCTGGGGAAGAATCTTGTCGAGAGTTCAGAGATTGTCTCCAGAAATACTACAAAATGTCTGCAATATCAACCATTAAAAGTAAATATACATATACAGATTTTCTATTCATTATTATGATCTCTGTTCGTTGAAATTCAAAAAATAGGGGTTGGTTCTTAGGAGTCCAGAATGCTATTTAGCCAGCCAATCGCAAGTGCAAAACTGGTTGGCTTATCTTTGGAACCAATAAATTGCATTATTTGATTTTGTGGTTTTTTAAGTGTTTTAAGTTGTCACTCTGTAGATATGAGTTATTTATATTTTATTTTTACTTATAAATGCGAAAAATTCTATCGTATTTGAAACTCCAGAGGAAATGTGCAAAGGCGAAAAAGATTATAACCATTCCTTAGTTCTTACCATAAGAATTGATTTTTGTTAAAAGCATTTTTTGTTTTTGTATCAACATTTGTATATTACTTATTTATAAAGTTTTTATTACAAAACTTGATCATACAAATGTATATTTTCTTAATATACTCACCAAAGAAGTAAAAATTAAGTTGTAATGCCATCTTATAACTTACTTTTTTCAGTTAGCTATATATTTACTGGCATAAGTATATTATGAGATTGCAAGTTTTTTGAATTCCTGCAGAATTTGCGAGAACTATTTGTGAAGGTAAGAGTTTGGAATTTTATGAAATTTTGACATAGTTCTGTACTACGCCAATGAAAAAGAAACTGTAGGTTTGCCAAAACGACGGAATTTCAGAAAGTATTCACGATTTTTCGACGTAAACAAAAAAATTTTGGGAAACCGAAAAACTTCAGTGTCCAGATTTCAAAACAAGATCTCTGTCATTCCTGATAACTTCATGGCATAGTTTTGGTGTAATCAAAAAACTGTGCAACTCGGGAGCTTTGAAATTTCAAAGGTTGAGAATATGCACAATTCGAAAATGTCAATCTAATTGATTTTTTAACTTTATATTTTAATGTTACTCTCATCCTTTCCAAATAGTTGTTATAGCGCAAAATTTGTACAGAATATTGCAATAATACTTTGTAGATTGGACCTAGAAGCCATGTTACTTTTATTTTTTTCTAAGATCAATTTTTGGCACACTGCACTATTAACATTAAATCTGAACCTAATTTCATAGAAAACGATGTTTTGGCACAAATGTTTAAAAAATTGGTACAAATGTGGTAAATTAGTAGATAGTTTATTAACTGTAAATAATAGTTGTAAATAGTGTATGTAAGAATAAACTATTTTTTTTCATGTACATTGTTTCCTTTCAAAAATAATTATCAGGGTCGGCCACAGACGGTACGCAGGTGAGGCAGCCACCCTCTGTTGGTCGTGAGACAGCCCCGGTGGTGGCCGCGCAAAGAGTCAGGAGGAAAATGAAGAGGTGTATTGCTAGACAACACTCTCTGACCTAACGTTGTAGGTGGGACTGTTGTCTGGCCATAACACGATGAGGCGTCACCTGCATCCCCTGTGTGAGCGCTGGGGGTAGAGGAGGAGTCCTCGGCGCATGTTCTGTGTCGCTGTGAACCTCTGCGCTACTACAGGGAGACTATACTGGATCCACAGAATGTTAAGAAGCTGGGACTCAGGGATATACTCAACTTTGCTATTAGAAGGGCGGCGCTTGAGCCTCTAATTTCTTCAATAATTCATTCATGATGCAGACATCCCAGGGCGAATTGTTAAGGGGGAAGAAAAACTCTCAATCACGGGGCGCTATTGATGTAGCCGAGCTGCTCCTCACTCGCTATCACAATATTGTAACGCCTTCATAACTATAACTTTGTGAGACACCCTCGTACATCGACGCTTAGGCAAGCAGAATATTGGGAGCGTTCGCCGCCTCATTGAGAAACATCGACGACTATCGAGAAGGTACTATAACCCCATTCGCAGTCCATTTACGCCCAGACAAAACACAACATGCCCAAAAGCGAGATTGCACAGGTCCGTATTTTGCTCAATGGTCTTGGAATAATCTAACAAACTAAATTATTATTTTTATAGAAAGAAGTGCACATACTTTTCACAATTCTTTATTCGCTGGAAGTACTTGGATCATCGTCCGAACGGTTAATATTAATTATTACAGGTTCAATTTGAATATCGATCAAATTGTCCAGATCCTACATCGTTGGTTCGATTTTCTATTGAACGTGACGGATGCAATATTTCCAATGGTCTGAAGTCACTCTGTTGACAGCTTCATAAAACAATTTTTTTACGTCAGAAAATTTGAATGTTATATTGTTTAAAGCCACATAGTTTTTTATATTGGCCCAAATGATTTCAATGGGACTTAATACGCAGTGATAAGAGGGTAGCCTATTTTGGTTTCCGTCAATAACATTAAGATTATATACTAAGTGACATATAAATCCGAACACCCAGTTTAAATAGTTTTATTTTAATAAACTTTTGTATAAGTACTTAATGAAGCATAATAAGTAAATGATAAAAATTTCAAAATGATTGCACTGCTTTAAAGCCCTTTGAGCTTTAATAATGTGTGGATGCACCCTCATGTGCTACGCATTCTCCAACGCGCCTAGGCATGCTTCTGATCAGGTGGTCAATGTCCTCCTGTGGTATCTCATTCCAGGCAACCACCAACTCCTCTCGAAGTGCTTCTAGAGTCTGAGGAGGACGTTGCAAATTGAGCAATCTCCTACCCATCATATCCCACACGTGCTCAATTGGGGATAAGTCGGGAGATCTTGGTGGCCATGGTAACACTGTGACATCATTATCTTGAAAAGAAGTCTATTGTGACTCTTGCAACATGTGATCGGGCATTATCTTGTTGGAAAGTTGGATCTGCCAGGGTGTCAAGATAGGGTAAAAGATGGGATTCTAGAACTTCGTGGATATAACGCTGCGCGTTCATGTTACCTCTGATGAAGATTAAAGGTAACCTGGAACCATAAGCTATAGCACCCCAAACCATAACTCCAACAGTGTGATGAACATGTCGTTCAACAAAAAACTGTGGATTCCTCCTTTCACCACGTCGCCTTCTAACCCTGGCACGACCATCGTACATGCCTAAACAAAATCGAGACTCGCCACTAAAGACAATACGGTTCCATTCCTGATCCCAGAGTGACCGTTGTCTGCACCACTCAAGGCGATTACGTCGGTGTTCTCGAGTTAAAGGGAGGACCCAGTGTGGCCGGTATGAAAACAAGCCAAAACTTCTCATTCGTCGGTAAACACTTCGCATGCCAATAGGTCTTCCGTGTTCTGCAAACCATTCATTTGCAATGGACCTGGTAGTGGAGAAACGGTCCCTTAAGGCCAATAATCTTAGGAGGCGATCTTCACGGTCTGTTGTTCTACGGCGGCGTCCAGTGCCCCTTGCTCTTTGCGTACGGCCTTCTCGAAGCCATGCCTGACAACACCTAACCACAGTGTCTACACTTCTTTTCACTCTAACTGCAATTGCCCGAAAAGAAAGTCCAACTTCCCGAAGTCTCACTATACGGCCCCTATCAAACTCACTAAGTTGACGAAATCGTACAGGTCTCCGTACTCTAGGCATCGTAACCGATCGTAAAGGATGTCAAGAACCAAAATCCGCCAACGTTGATTCTTTACTGCGGCTGAAATATTCATTTTTAGAGCCAGTATAAAAACCGGAATGTCCAACTGATAAGGCTGAAAATTTTTTCACTTGTTATTTACATTAAGATAAATACATTCACCAACTTTTATTAAAATAAAACCATTTAAACTGTCTTTAGCCTCCTGAGCGTAGAAAAAGATATCTCACTGTTGCTACACTAACTGGTAATGCAGCAAGGATATATAAGAACTTGGGGGGGTGTAGAGGTTGGACTAGTTGGTGACCACAAGGGGGGATATAAAATATAAAATAATTATCTTTTCCAACGAATCGAGACTATTTTTCAAACTTGATTCTGGAGTCACGGTTGCGCATGAACTTAAAACGATACTCGCATCTGCTATCACTTCGCGTGCAACAACGCGGAGCAGACGAGTAATCGTCTAGTTCTATCTCCCGAAACACGCGTATGAGACAAGGATATCCAAATCTAGCAGCCAGTTTACAACTTCTGCTATTTTGTATTGTATGACTGTAGATGCATGTCAATCAATCTACAATTGACATAAAGGTGTGGAGATGGGTGAGCGTAGATGTTTTGCGGAGGTGTGGGATACGGGAGAAGAAAAACCTGCAGAAAGATATCTGTAATTTATTAAATTTATCAGGGATTCGAAAGTCATAAATAGCTGTGATCCAACTAGATTCGCCCAGTGGGGTCACGACCCCCATATCCTGGGTCCGCGCTAGAGAGTCGACAACGGACGATGAGTCAACAGCGCGATCACCATAGTCCAGTCGATATAGTCATAAATTTGTAGCAAAGTAGTTGCAAGGGCTGTGATAAATTAGTGTAACATAGACGTTGAATAATAAAATCGGTGCTTTCTATCGCCAAATGTAATTTTTGACATAATTATAGATTCGGATATTTTTTTAACATGGTTAAAAAAGCCCTGCGTATCTGTGATCTGTAGTAAAATTCATCTCTTTACTAGATATGTTTCGTTACGTTCGTTAAGGGTAAAAAACAAGTTTCGTTTATATCAAACTTTTTTAATAAAAAACGAAAAGAACAGTACAACTATAGTAATAACAAATACCTAAGCAAAACAATATATAGATTACATACATTCATGCAGACTAGAATTGTTTTATGCTTTGCTATTGGTATTTGTCAATCAAAACAAATATAAAAATCATTTATGCCACAGAGTATCCCAACAGGTTTGAAACATTTTTATAAAAATATATTTTTTTAAGTTACAAACGCTACTAAGTTGTTCTTGCTGTTCTGGACAATGCACCAGCTTTTCAGTGGAATATCGAGAGGGTACTTTAGCCTTTCTTGTATTCAGATAGACAAAATCATGCAACTGTCTCAAAAGGGTGTTTCTAGAATATGTGATGAATTTATTGGACCCACATTGAACAAAAAAAACATGTAACAGTACCTACACCTGTTGCATTATTTTTTGTGTTCCACATCAATCTGTCAAACTCAACACATTTTATGAAATCCTGTTCATTTGGATCCACTATATTAATAAGCTTGTGTTAGGTTCTCTGTGTACACAATGAATCTATATTAAAATAAATAAAACTTAAATTATGAAAACGGCCTTTAAATCAATCTGACGGCATATTATATACCTAGCTCTCTTCTGGTTGCTGCAAAAATGATCTATATGGAGTATCTGCTAGTAAATGATATGCAACTATTTAATGCGAAGGATCTCATGATTTTCTTGATCCAGACCAAAGAAACTGGTGATATGAAAAAGATTTGTCTATGGATTTTGTATTGGAAATTTGAGCAACATTAACGAAGGATACGGTAAGGTTGAAAAATATCCATTGTTGCTAAGCCTTCCGTCTTTTTCAAATAGTGCAGGAGAGCCTAGTATAAAATATGACTCAACATCAACGATCAGTAACATAAAAAATAAACATGAATGTTGCAACAACAACGATAAGTAACATAAAAAATAAACATGAATGTTGGGGCACAGGAAAAAGGCTGGCTCGGACTGAAATGAAATTTTTGCAGAGCACCAATTGAACCAGGAAGTTTTTAGGTCATAAATGATGCAAATCCTATGATGACAAAGTACTAGCTGTGAATAAATTTTGTTAAAACATAATTCCATAATTCCTATTATTATTCTGTTCTTTCTAATTTGCTTGAACTATTGCATTCAAAAATTACTGTTTGGAAGTTAGCCTGTAGTGACAAAAAATACCTTTTCGTTATTGAGATTGAAGAAAAAATGGAGTATGCTAAAAACTCGAAAATCTCATAGATGCAATCAATTTTAATTCAGTCATTTTCAGGGTCGAAAACCCACCCAAAAGTGATATACCCCAACAATTCTTAAATCAGGTAAATAAAGCTTCTTGTCAAAACATATCTGACATGCATAACGTATCATTTTGTTCTTAAAATGGACATTCTATATGCACTATTATATAGAATTCTGACACAAATATTTACAAGCTACAGAAAGGTCAGAGGATAGATTCAATACAAATATATCAATCTACCCACTGTGTATTATGAAGCAGCATAAATAACTTCCTGTAAATATATTTGCCCTTTCCAGTTGCTTGGCGCGAAAACGCTATTTGTATGATGTGACAAGAAGCAAACTCGATATTCAAATTTCCTAAATTACGTCTATAGGCACTTCAAAGGAACGTGGTATATGATAAAATTACTAGAAAAATACTGCGTCTTATCCAGGAATGTTGTATATATGTTGTTTAGTTATTCTAGTATCACATTTCTTTATCAGACTATACCACATTAGGTTCTGCAGCATATTGACGAACGTAGAAGAACCCAGCTACACTCGATCTTATTCCAAGCGCGTCTTTCAACGGCCTAGTACTGATGCGAGTCATAACGTCATCATTGAACTCGATCCAGTCGTCTCTGAAGCAAGTGAAAAACGACGTTAAGTTGATTGCCTCGGTACTTCCCTATTTTTTTAAACACGGGACAAAAATTCAAGAAGTAATTCTTAAGACTATTCTAAGGGCCGAATCGTCCATCGTTCCTAAAATATTGTAGGACGCCTTTATGGCCTCCTTGACTTTCGTGGTTTTTCCTGTCCTTCGGAAACGCAGGGTATTTCCAGATTTCTACTGTTTTGAGTCAGCCCTCTATATCAGGTTAAATTTTCAGAACAAGCACAAAAATCCCCCAGACTTACAACTTTTTCAAAAGTAAAAAAAGGGGAGGTTTGGTTCAAAGAGCGGGGAATTCGTTCTAACTTAATTTTTAAGAACAATACTTTATAGTAGAACAGACTAAAGGAGTGTTGTCTGGCAAAGGCCACCTAGCTGTACTATAAAGGTCACAGAGAAGGCTCCAACATCACATATAATGTCACAGAAATTCAACGTAATTTTAGGAGGTGTGCTAGTACCACATGCTGTGGTTTTTTGATCTTACCTTACGTCGTCCAGTAAAACAGTGGCAATGTAATGGCCTTGAGATAGAGTGCCGCTATGCTGGACTACAGCGTAGAGTTGATACACTGAGCTTCCAAATTGTAGCTTATGCGGAAAACTGACAAGACCAGGATGCTTCATTACTTCATCTTTAGAAACTAGGATTCTGTAACAATATCTGTATTTTAGTGAAGGCATTTTGTGATATAAATGCACAGTGTATCAATTGAAATGCTACTTAAAAATATTCTGTCACTTGCATAGACTACATTATAGCTTGAAACATTGCTTTTTGGTCACTATTTTTTTCATCTCAGCTCTGAGCTATATCTGATGAGTGATGATTATTCTGTGAAATACAATTATTTTGTTCTGTTCTGTCTATTAAACATCCGAACCCCTTGAAAACTTAGCAAGTACGCAAAAGGGGCTCCTACAAAAGATTCGAAAGAGAAACGAGGAATTTATTGGCGACTTCTAGATTGACCTAGATAATGACCTTAGAGGTAATTTATAGGTCAACTTAGCAAATTCAAATAGCAGCCACTATTTGACAGATGATTCACGATCAGTACGAGATTTTACATATACAGACAAGTTGAAACATCTGAAAACTGTATAAACACTGTGGAAACATGGCACCACGCATTTGCCTAAAAAAGGCTCCTATAAGACATTTAGAAGATCAAATAACCTCTAGTATGAGCTAGACAATGACCTCGGAGGTCATTTGGAGGTCAGCTTCGTAAATTTAAGCAATCACCACTAGTTCTGACAACAGATTCGTGATCAGCACAAGTGGACAAATCAGCAGTTCAATCCGCCACCAAAGATTGCAGCTATTTGAATTCACAAACTTGGCTTCCAAATTACTTTTGAGGTCTAAGTCATCCCTTTTTTAACTTCCTGAAGCTTTAGCATAGACCCTTTAGACTAGTTTCCGGTGCATTTGTGATCTTTTCAGGCCTGCCGAATTGACCACTTTTGATCGCGTGACGAATATGAACACCAAAACTGGTACATGAAATCTAAGTTTACGAGGTTCGAAGATCTGGACTCTGACCTGAAATGAACGGTTCTTTGGCAGAACTCGGCCATCCATCGAAACCGGATGAACGCTAGCACGGTTTTTGTTCGTCAAGGTACAGTACTGTGTTTTGTACAAGATTGTTGCATCCCAAAGCAGTGATAACCTCCAGGTCTATGGTCAGAGAGGAAATCGCTGCTAGTCTTCTTTTTTCCAGCAAGGGTGGTTGCTACTTAAATTTGGGAAGTTAACCTCCTATTATTTAGGTCTCATTAGAGGTCACTGATTTAATCGTTTTTTAATCTCATGAAACTTTTGCTAGACTCTTTTTTCGAAATAATGCATGGTTTCGGGATGTTCATATATTCAATAGGAGGAACTAAAGATAAGACGTCTGCACACTTTTAAAAATCCGCAGTATAGTCCTTACCTTTTCAGACATATAATCAACGTGTCTGGATCTACGACGACAGATCTCTTGTTCACGACTGCACCAATGTTCTTGCATATCTCGCACTGGTAGTCTTTTTCAGTGGTTTCGGCCAGATAATTGTTGATCAAATCTTCTAATTCACAGGGTTCTAAGTTCTGCCGCATGGCAAGATTTAGGGTACCCTCTGTTTCGAATGACCACATCTTCTTTTTGCAATGAGTGCAAATTTTCTCGTCCCTAAGTTGATAGTACGTTCTATCGACCAAAAAGCTCGATCGCCCTTGTAGAGCGCTATACCAAGCTTGTTCACTATCCGTCATAACCTAAATGAAAAGTATCGTTATTTCATCGAAAAAATAAAAACGTGTGGTTTCAATGTTACTAAGCTTCTTCAAATGACATCCACATAATAGGAAGGTTGATCTACGTGTTCTGTCTATCTTCATTACAAATTATCTCAGTACAACAAAATACTAAGTTCATATGTCAAACTGGTCTGAAATTATGTGCTTTTTGATTCATGTGTGACAAAAATTTTGATAAAAATGGATCCTCTTGAGCAGAAAAGCAGAATTAAGTATCTGCAGAAAAAATGGCATCACGTAGGTTAACTCTACAAAGACTTAGTTACAAACATGTATAAAAAATATTTCTCTTTAAAGACAACATATGATATGTGATAGGTGCGTCGAGTTACCGGGGTTGGGAGCGTATACGAGGCTTGTTCAATAAGTACCCGTGTTTGACGGCACAGGGCGTCCCTGAGGAAAGTGGGTTATCATCGTGTGCACAACACATTGCACACTGATTGATAAGTCGGTTTGGATTTGGCGGCCATTCGAGTCACACGTGTTTCGTGATTTTCGCCAAGATAGATTTGCTTTTTCTTTATGGATGAGAAAAACGGAGATAAAAGCAAAGTTGGATGGCGAAGATTTTTTGGGATGCGAACGGCGTCATCCTCATGGATTTTTTTTTTGTATAAGGAAGAACGACCACTGGACAATACTACAGTGAGTTATTGGATCGCTTCGACGAAAAACGGCCGCATTTGGCGAAAAAGAAGGTGCTGATTCTCTACGATAACGCAACAGGACATTCATCCGAAGTTGTCGTCGCCAAACTGCATGAATTGCGTTATGAAGTGCTGCCGCAATCCCCGTATTCACCCCTCCAAAATATTGGAGAAAATGGTGTTAATTTCTAACACGGGTACTTACTGAATCGCCCTCATAAATATATTTGTACTAACATCAAAAAAGTGATATATACCCCACGTGTTTTTGAAAATGGAAGAGAGCCCCCTTCATCATCATCAAATAGTGAAAGGCTGAGGAGGGCAGATAGCTCTTGGCTCTTTTTCTCAAGTTTATAGTAGGATTATATCAGAAATATGCTATTCAACCATTTAAGAGGTTTTTCGGTAGATTTGATTTCGCATTAAAATCAGTAGACTAGGACTAAAATCGGTAGATCTACAGAAAAATCGATCGACCTGGTAACACTGACACCAGACACCGTGAAAAATATACATCTGACGTCTTACACGTAGGAGTTTAATCGCGGCCTAATCGTGAACACTGCTTTTCTCGCTCCATATACGGCAGAGTTTTATCATTATAGCGACTCATCAGCAGGATACAGATGGAACGACGAACAAAATTTAATCTAGTACTAAACCAACCTCCGGTCTGGGCATTTCCACCATGCAATCCTCGCTGAGTTGAGCGAAGAAAAATGTGAAGAACTCGAACGCGTCTTCGTGCCAGCATTTTTCATACATTGGATTCACGCGGCTGAGTTTATCCCTTATAAATTTGGGATAGTAGATTTTTGGATCATCTTCAGAACCTTCCCACAGCTTCTCAAACACCTGTAGAAAGCACAATAGACCTAAGTTTCTGATACTTGAATACGTCATAGGACAAATTTATGAAAGTACTACGAGCCTCTTTCACAATGACGAGGAGTGAGCTATCTCTTATCGAAATGACAGAGAACTTTTTAACAATTGCAGCACTTTGGTATTTAGGTTTTGCCTAGGAAAATCTTACCTCGCCCATCAACATATTGAATACCGGAGGTACTCTTCGATTCAGGGTCAAGTACCTGTTTGTATTCACATAGTACTCTTTTATGAACGGCAATGTTTTCATACATTGTAAGATCGCGCTCATAAAACAGCAATTTTTGTAATTTTGGATTCCCGTGAAGCCTCGCCCGTTCACCTGAAATAAAATGAAAAATGGAGATTATTGTATCGATAATATCAACGCATTCTCGAAGAAAATGCAAAACCCTATGCTGTATTAGCATAAAACTCTCATCGTCACAGCGATGTAGGTCTTAGTCATTAGAAGTAGATTCATGAGATTTCTGATTCTCAGAACGACGAAAAAAGAAATTTCATAAGTGACTACGGTGATGTATACTGCCGTAGGTAGAAGAAATTTAAGTGTAAAAATCTGAGTCTGAGTGAATTGGCTTCATAATTCTGGATTTTGTCGAACTAAATAAATAGTATTATGACGACAGAAAAAAGTGAATGAATATTGCAGTTACATGAGAGAGGCATTTAAATGTGATTTCGGATTATAACTGTTGTTGAGGTCTAAAATAAATTCACTGTTGTAAATCAAAAAGCAGTAATTTGTGATTTACTGCATTTATACTCGGCAAAAACAAATTTACTGCCTTTTTAGTAGTTTCCATAATCTATTATTTTTATTCTCTCAAAGGAAATACGCACTAATACAGAATCCTATTTTATTTTCTTATATACTAAGTGACATATAAATCCGAACACCCAGTTTAAATGGTTTTATTTTAATAAAATTTTGTATAAGTACTTAATGAAGCATAATACGTAAATGATAAAAATTTCAAAATGATTGCACTGCTTTAAAGCCCTTTGACCTTTAATAATGTGTGGATGCACCCTGATGTGCTACGCATTCTCCAACGCGCCTAGGCATGCTTCTGATCAGGTGGTCAATGTCCTTCTGTGGTATCTCATTCCAGGCAACCACCAACTCCTCTCGAAGTGCTTCTAGAGTCTGAGGAGGACGTTGCAAATTGAGCAATCTCCTACCCATCATATCCCACACGTGCTCAATTGGAGATAAGTCGAGAGATCTTGGTGGCCATGATAACAATGTGACATCATTATGTTGAAAGAAGTCTATTGTGACTCTTGCAACATGTGGTCGGGCATTATCTTGTTGGAAAGTTGGATCTGCCAGGGTGTCAAGATAGGGTAAAAGATGGGGTTCTAGAACTTCGTGGATATAACGCTGCGCGTTCATGTTACCTCTGATGAAGATTAAAGGTGACCTGGAACCATAAGCTATAGCACCCCAAACCATAACTCCAACAGTGTGATGAACATGTCTTTCAACAAAAAACTGTGGATTCCTCCTTTCACCACGTCGCCTTCTAACCCTGGCACGACCATCGTGCATGCCTAAACAAAATCAAGACTCGTCACTAAAGACAATACTGTTCCATTCCTGATCCCAGAGTGACCGTTGTTTGCACCACTCAGGGCGATTACGTCGGCGTTCTCGAGTTAAAGGGAGGACCCAGTGTGGCCCGTATGAAAACAAGCCAAAACTTCTCATTCGTCGGTAAACACTTCGCATGCCAATAGGTTTTCCGTGTTCTGCAAACCATTCATTTGCAATGGACCTGGTAGTGGAGAAACGGTCCCTTAAGGCCAATAATCTTAGGCGGCGATCTTCACGGTCTGTTGTTCTACGGCGGCGTCCAGTGCCCCTTGCTCTTTGCGTACGGCCTTCTCGAAGCCATGCCTGACAACACCTAACCACAGTGTCCACACTTCTTTGCACTCTAACTGCAATTGCCCGAAAAGAAATTCCAGCTTCCGGAAGTCCCACTATACGGCCCCTATCAAACTCACTAAGTTGACGAAATCGTACAGGTCTCCGTACTCTAGGCATCGTAACCGATCGTAAAGGATGTCAAGAACCAAAATCCGCCAACGTTGATTCTTTACTGCGGCTGAAATATTCATTTTTAGAGCGTTAGTGAATTAAAAAAAAGCAGTATAAAAACCGGAATGTCCAACTGATAAGGCTGACAATTTTTTCACTTGTTATTTACAGTAAGATAAATACATTCACCAACTTTTATTAAAATAAAACCATTTAAACTGGGTGTTCGGATTTATATGTCACTTAGTAGAGTTTATTCATATAAATAGCACAAAACTTTTCAACATCAAATAATTCAATTAAAAAATTATATGATTACCCATCGAACATGATGACGCCAAAATAACGGTCACTTTTGGTCGGAAACGTCATTGCCTAAAAAATCATGTCTTTATTGACACCATTTTTTATGGCAACACGTCCTTTAAAAGTCATTTTGACGTATTTTTTATGACAGTGAATACTCAAAAATCAACACTTACCTATGAAGAATATATAGGCTTTTAGTGTAACGTAAACTAGATATCCAAATACTGATAACAACTTTATTGTTATTTATAAAAAGTATCAGGAATTATTCGACCAAAAATATCTTATTAAAGTGACTTTTCCAATAATAATATTCCATGTTCAAATATTTCAGATTGCCATCTTACATCATATTTTAATTTATTAGAAACTCCTCTGTATAATAATAAACAAGTTTTACTAAAATATTTGCAATCAAGCGCGGTCACATAGACGTCATATCGACCTCAGTTAGACGTCATATCCACGACATACAGACGCCATATCGACTTTGTATTTGGTCTTTTAAACGACATATAATGACGTAGACTCTGTAGATTTAATAATTTACATTCAGTGAAAATAATTGTATAAACAAACTAGCATCTAGCAGCATGTTTTCCGATATGTTAATTTAAACGAAGAATATTTTGTAAAACTATTCTTTCGGAGCGAAAGTAAGATAAATACTTATTCACAAATAATAGAATTATTGCATCAGAAACTGAATAAGTAAACATCATAATAGGTTGTAAAAGGGTAAAAAGTATAAGTACCTGTATCATATAGAGAATCAAAAAAGTAGTTTGAAAACTACTGCTTTTTTGCTTTGATAAATTGAATTACGGCTGTTTTGCTTAGGAAATGTAATTATGAAATATTTGGTAAAGTGAGAAAATAACCATTCCATTGTCAATGATATGTTTGTTATTGTAATCAATTTAAAAAAGGCAGTAAATGTACTTTACTATCTTTTACCTAAGTATGGCAGTATAGTTGTAAGTTGTAAACATAAATTGTTTAGCGCCGCTTCCATCTGAATTTGGAATCTTCTTGTGTAATATGATCATCAAGTTCAAGTCGTTATAAAAACTTACGTCTTTTTCTGGTTCTTTGACTTTATCAGGTTTAAAACTCCTGTCAAAGGAAGGAGGTGGGGGGACATAGGTTGGCACAGCATTGTCCATCGGCTCTGGAGAATTATCTCTCCGTCTTTCAGGTGACCTTGAGTAGTCTTGGTTACCCTCATTCCTCTGCTCTGGAAGATAAGTTGGTTTTGATGCGCGGGCTTTTCGCAACAGCATTTCTCGGTCACCTTCCATGAGCTTTCGCATTGCCTTCAGACAAAAAAAAACAAAATAAAGGATATTTTTCTAGAAATGAAACGTAAATACACCGACATTTCACTATGAAAGTAAACAAACTATCATTGAACGAAAAGATTTGGGGAAAAGAGAGACAGAACGGTTAAAGAAAGACCATTTTCCTGAATGGAGAACATGTGGCAATCCCGATGAGAGGTATGTATTATTTGTTAAAAATCTTGGGAACTGGTGAAAACAAAAAAAACAAAAGCGTATCTTAAGATTATTAGAAAACGTCTAAATCCCATAGCTACTAAGTGACAATTTACATTGGGAATTTAAATTTGAAACGTCCGTCTTAATAAAAAACTGAAAAACCAAAAAATCAACAATTTTCGAACACGGTTACCCATCTCAATACTAATCGCGCCAGACGCTGCTTAACTCTGACAACTGTCAGCCCTACTGGTAAGGGCAGGCATTATTTCATTAAGCAATAATAAATGAATAAATTACCTGGCAATCCTCAACCGACATATCTTGCGGCTTTATGAAGTCCGTTGAAGCTGCAGTGTTAATGTTTCCTTCATTGTATTCCATTGTAATTTGATGCTCGGAAATGCTGGTGTAAGGCCCACTAGATACACCTGGCTCCTTGGCAAAGTACGAATGTTTCGGCAATGCCCCTTCTGACCGTATATTACGCAATTTAAGCGCTACATCGTCGTCTTCATCTTCTTCGGGGAAGTCCCTCTCTACACGTTTTGCTACGTTGCCCATAGAATATGCCGAATCAACCCTGAGGTTTCTATGACCTTCTCCTGAGGCTGCACCAGGATATTCCACCGAGTCTATATCCAACAAATCGTCGATCTCCGAGTTTTGCTTAGCGAACAAACAACCAGAATTCTCTACTTCTGAAGGATAACATTGGACGAACTCTTTTAAACCGCCATCTAGGATAAATGGGAGCTCCCGGTAGCTTCTGTTGAAGTCCCACTGCAAACAAAAAGTTAAATTGATCGATACGACCGCTTCTTTGTCCCCAGGGTATCGAAATTGTGGAACAATCCACATGAAAAGATGCTTTTCCCAGTTCTACTAACATTAGGTAGTTCAAAAATCGGATTAACAAAGTTTCTTTAAGCTCATCATGGCATTTAGGCTTCTGCCTTAGCGGCTGCTTATTGTAAACAGACACGTTCCCTTTGCCCTGTCTAACTGTATACAAAATTTCATTCAATACAATCATTTTGCCTGGCTGTTCTATTTTCTTTATATCTGAGTATATAACAGTAAGCACAAAATAATCAAAATTAATACTGCAGTTACTGAGATGAGAAAGTTATGAAAACATTAATGAAGATTAGATTCTTGCTCAGATACTCAGACCATATAGTTTAGTTTAAAATAAACCGAAACGTCAAAGAAAATGTGAAAATGTTTTCATTAATAATAATAATCTTTAGCGGTTCTGTAGATCATTTATCATGAAATCATCAAGGGTGAAGGTACTCTATCTTGAAAAGTATCAAAAGCATTCAAAAAATAGATAGATAAAACCAAAAACAATATACCATACATATGAAATATAGGACAGCCACAAAAACAATGAGCAAAGAAATACAACACAATACCTAAAATAAGGATTGGCCATGTTAAAAATATATAAATGAATAAATAAGTAAATAAAATACAAAAACCATAAATAATATGCTACAGTTGTTGAAAATGTACAAGTATATATATATATATATATATATAACTTGAGACGTGGTCATTGTCGTCTAAACCAGTTAGGTGAAAAATTAAAGCTTCCGCCTTTTGTTGGGTACTTCGACAAAATTTAAGCAAAGAGGACTCTTTATACTTTTTTTTAATTCTCTCTAGCTTTCAATGGACTTTGCCATCATCATAAATAATTTCTAATCTGTCTTTAACTTGTCTTGTCATATTTTATATAATTTTAACCATTGTACCATGTATCCAGCTCTCACCATGTTACTGGACGTTTCCCTCATCCTATACGAAAACAACAATTAGCAACATCCTCACATATTACTGTAAGTTGATTCAATTTAAATTCATTTTACACTTTTGTTGCTACTGTTATCATTGTAATTGCAGCTCCTGATGATGATGGCAAAGTCCATTGAAAGCTAGAGAGAATTAAAAAAAAGTATAAAGAGTCCTCTTTGCTTAAATTTTGTCAAAGTCCCCAACAAAAGGCGGAAGCTTTAATTTTTCACCTATATATATATAAGAATAGTACACTTTGCGTCTCAATAGAGCTTTAAGTTTATGTCTAAATAATGCTATTGGCAAGCTTTTAAAAGTATTTGGCAATTTATTGAACAGCCTAATACCCATTTGATGTGGGCTGACTGTTCTTGACAGCCTATGAGCAGGAATCTGCAGGACAAGCGAATTCCTAGTTGAGTACTTATTATGGTCGTTTAACTTTGGAAACATACCCAATTGACTGAAAACATTAGTTTGAAGAAGATTATTTATTCATAATCACATCTATGTTCGAAGGTAAGATCACCCCCCAGCTTGTCTCGTAATTACGGATAGGATTTCGTATTCTCAGAATATGTTAATTGATGCTAAAACATACCTCAGTTATGAATATGCGTAGGCAGTGTAATTTCGACAATCCAAAGGTAAACTTTGTTGTGTCATAATCCAACATGACGATGCAGTCAAAGCTATCTCGGTTATCCCAGATTACATGGGTCTCTCGTGGCAATTTAAGCCCTAGCGTATTTGCGGAAAGTCTGAAATTAAAATTTACCTAATTACAGAATGCTGAAAGATGCTTGCACACGATATGTGGAATTTTGGAGATCGGTTGAGTTTTCTCGAAATGTGTCATGCAATTTTTCACTTCTGATCTTCACTTACCCTGGTTGAATGAGTTTGGGTGGAATATTAATCATGCCTCCTGCCTTTTTCTTAATTCTAGTCTGATCGTATTCGTAGGCTTGTCGAACGTCTACAATCAACACGTTCATGTCGTCAAGGCGTTTGTAAAACTCTTCTGGTGTAAGGAACAATCCTAGAATATAAACTTTCTTATTACCAGAACACAATTAAACATTGTAAAGGACTGGTCTTGCGCAACGACAAATTTTCCGTTATATTCCTTCCAGGTGTTGAAAGTATTGAAACCGTCGACCTTGATTTGACCATCAAGGTCATGCTCAAGATTAAACTCAATACCACCACTAAACACCCAGTGAAAAAATCCCAAACTGTACCATTTTACTTTTACCATACTCCTTGAATATGCCCAACTTGGGTATCTTCTGGTGAAATGTGTTACGTTTATTAAAATGTCTTTAAAATATTACCACTTTCAGGATGTTGCACTAGTGGAGCGCCTCTTGGTTCCTGGATATATGTGGCCATATCATCTTCAATCGGTTCAAAGTCTTTAAAGGGGTCAGGTTCGCCAGTCGGTTGGATATAGTCGCTATCCAGAACAATCGAAGACTCGTCTGAAAGCGTATTGCTGCTATGCGGAGCTCTCAAGCTGATGGAAAGTTTTTCTTGAAGCACCTTATACCTAAATGATTTCATTCGAGTTTACAAATAATTCTTAAGTCGAAAATTTTATTTTGGTTCTTGCCGACACTACATTCCCCAAAGCATATTCAATACTACACAGTAGTGTAACTTCTGATAATAAGAGGGGTTCATGCATTGCATGCGTCATGTCTCGCAGCATGTGCCGACCAGAAATATTCACTTTCAGGGAAATGCGAAACTGCATGGTATTAGATATGCTATGGTTTTACTACTCAACTTATACAGGGTGTCCCAGAATGTGGACAAGATCTTGAAATTCACTTAGAATATAAAAAGTAGTCGGTCAAGTGCCTGTAAAAATGTCCTAATATGAACCTTGCTGTATAAATTACCGAATTTTTGAGAATATCCTATCATGACCAATTATTATACAGGGTGTAGAAAAAATTAACGATATTGTTTAGGATTAGTGCCTCCCTGACAATATAAAAAGTTTATTGTTTTCTATGGACACCATCATTTGAGGCTCTAATTGGTTACAAAAGTGTCAAATTTGTGTTAATGATGTAAAGTTATTTGGAAGTGGCATAGTTTTTATGAGCCTAAACCTGCCTAAAGGAGAGACCTTGTACATAAATATAAGTCTTCTGAGTACCAACCAGTTGTACGCCAAACTTGTCTATAAACTATATACACAAGTTTATAGACAAGTTTGGTGCACAACCAGTCGCTCAGACGGAAATTAAAAGAAGAAAAATTAGTTAATTGCTTGCTCCAGTGGCCCTCTTTTGATAGGTTATGTAAACTCTATAAAGAGGTCTCATGTTTCCAACCCGAACTCACAGTTTTGACATCGCTTACTACAGTAATACCATACCTTTCCTCTAGTTCACTCCTGAGGCTATTCAAGAGTGTCTTTACAGTGTTATAGTCATTGAGAAACAAAGTGCGAATATATTTCGGATCGTCAGATACTTTAAATAGGTGATCCATCAGCAAAACATAGCGCTTAGCTAAAATGTAAGATCTCTCTTGGTCCTCTCGACACAGCAACAGTTCCTTTTTCATTTTGGAACCTACATGTTTAAGCCTACGACAGATTTCATGAGTATTTCATTTGGGCATGTTTTTGATCCATACTCACTTAGGAGACTTGTTGAGGTATTTCAAAACATGGTCTTTTGTCGCCAAAGCGTCCAGACCAGCAAGGCTGTCTGTTATATACAGTGGTATTACCTTTTCATCCATCATTTTGGATACAGAAACCTTACAAGTTATGAGCTCTTCATATCCATATATAACTTAAAAAGAATCTGTTGGCAACTTCTCAATTTCTATAAAATGATAGTGTTAATCTATCTGTACAAATCATTTAATTACCCGGCTTACTTCTTGAAGAGAAACTACATTTAACTGGAATTGGAATAAATACAGAAGATATTTTTGAAAGATTTCAACTGTTTCTGGAGTGTCAAATGTCAAGTCACGAAAATTTTGACAACTGTCAATTGGAGAATATTCGCAGCAGGGTTGCCAAGCGTGGCGATTTGACGGCTTTAAATGGCGACTAAAATGGATAGCTTGGCGATTGGCTACTTTAGTGCCGCCCAGTATCCAGAAAATTGGCGATATTTGTCGATTTTTAAGATTTCTGACCAACGGAGGTTCTGTGCTCTAACCACAATGGCGTTCATGGTCAAATGTCATATCAAGATGTCATGTTCCGAGCATATCAACTACAAAACATATACGGAGAGAACGCTTAAGCCGGTCCCACACGATGTGGCGAATGCCTTACAGCGTTGGACACATGGCCATTCGCCACAACGTGTGGGAGAGCGCTGATGGATTTCATGTGTCCAATGTTCGCCACACGGCTCTTGTCGGTAAATTTGACCTGCGTCAAAGGACGTTACAACGTTAGAGGCAAGGTTCGTTACGCTCACACATGAGATGTCATGTGTTTCATGGTTTTAGGTTAGAACCAGTAGCGGCGAAAAACATTATTTACTTGTTTGCTGTGATTGTGGTGAAGTAGTGGGATTGTGGGAAGCATTTTGATTTGAATACCTACCTATTCATAGTAACGTATGTTCCGTAATTAACTTTTGAGGAGAATGAATAAAATTAGCATACCTACATACAAAGCATAGGCTGTCATCACAACACTTTTTCCATATTGCTAATATGTACGTTTCGCAAGTGAGTTAAGGATACGTATTTTAGTGAATTATAAATTATTATCAAGTGCTTACAGTTGTTTCATTATAATGTCCTGTTGCAATGCAAGACTAGTTGAGGAATATATTGACTTGCATTTTATAACTAACGAAAAAGATTAAATAAATGATAACCCTGAAACTACTATCAGGATTTTGATGAAATTTTGACCCTAGGTTACTACCATGAAAATTACGAAAAAACGCTGCAGTTTTTGAAAATCGGTACACTGGCGGCGGCGTTATCGTCGAAAAACAAACAAAAAACGGTCAAGCTTCGTTTTTCGACATTTCTGAGGCTTCTGACAGACTTAAGTTTTGGACGTCAGACCTGAAATTATTTTTCGGCGCTCGAAAAAATTGTTGCCTCGTTCATTTTGTATAATTTTTCCTTCAGTTGTAAAGGTTCAAGCGCGAGACTGAAACCGTTAATAGACGTTGGCGCCACCATGCGTCGAACGTCCAAGATTAGAAAGTTCATCCCATCGTGTAGGAGACACACTTGCCAATTGTGAGGTGTCGAACGTTGTAAACAACGTTGGAAGTATCGTGTGGGACCCGCATTACTCAGAGCAATTCAACCGATTGCTTATATATATATATATATATATATATATAAAGAGAATATGACCATGCGGAGAAATGTATATAACAACAAGTAGGAAAATAATGGGCAAAATCCGCAAAAAGGAGGAAAGTGGATTCGAGCAGAAAATAGGATAGGTAACTCGAGCGATACGTATTTCTGCTGGTTGGCTTCATCAGGCCCGAAATGAATGCACATATGAAACTACAAAAGTAGATACACATGCCCACACATCCGCATACGGGTGTAACCTGAGGAAACGAAGTTGGAGGAAAATATATATATATATATATATATATAATATTATAAATAAAACAATATAATTAGGAAAGTAATTTTATTCTGGTAGATAAAGTAATGTGGGTATTTGTAATATATGATATATGATCATACGGAAACTACCAGAAACCCATGATATCATACTCAACAAAAAAAAACATGTCTGTATGTAAACATTTATTTGCAAAATGTAATCAATGGAAGTCAGGTGATAGTAGACCAACACAGCTTTCAATGTCGGTTCATTTATGGGCTGGAGAGTACTCAACAAAAAATTAGTTGGGCCATATGAATTGCCCGCCAGGTTGAATGGTCAGTCATATTGATTTTTTACAAATCAGTTTGCATGAGCTGCTAGAGGATGAACATTTGGACGTTCAAAGCCGCATGTATTTTCAATGCGATAGTGCCCCATACCACTTTGCACGGCATGTACGGCATTACTTAGACAGTGCCTTTCCTGGTCGTTGGATAGGTGGAGGTGGACACATACGATGGCCTCCAAGGGCAGCCGATTTAAATTTTTTATGTGGGGGTTTTTGTAACGGGATAATCTATACATCTGAATATACAAATAGACCCACGCAACGAAGACTATTATAACTCAAAAATCGTTGCTTTTGATTTACGCTTAGCATAGATTTTTAAGTTCTTCAAAGGTTTGCAAATAATTTGCACAAGCCAGTTTATGCAAATTATACGAGCATGAAGACGTACCTTTAGAGAACATAAAAATCTATGGATACCAAGAGTGAGTCAAAAGCAAGGATTTTTGAGTTACTATAGTATTCGTTGCAGCAGGGGTCGATAATGTCAACCAACTGCGCCAGAAAATTGAAGCAAAAATAAAAATTATGGAAAACGGAAATTGATTTCAAAAACTAAAGGACAATTTCATTAGAAGGTGTCGCTTGTGTATAGAAAATAATGAAGGCCATTTCAAACATGATCTTCAAAAATTAGTTAAATTAAATTATCTTCCACATGTGTCGGTAAAGAGCTAAACACAATAGGTACTGTACTTGTAACAAGTGTTGTAAATTAGTGTGAAAGTAACAAATTAGACCCTAGCAAATCGGTGTTTACGTTACAGTATTTTCACGTACCCTTCCAATTCGTTTCACTGATTTACTGGGAAATAATACAAATAAGAGGAAAGTGCTTTGTATTTGAGTTTTTACGCATCCGCCCAAATCGGACAACGACGAGACAAAAATAGGCCTAGATGTTTTATGTTTTGATGGTGCGTAAATTTACAATAAGAGAAATGTATTGCTTTTTGATATTCATACCTTGTTTCTCATGAAATAACTTTAAATAAACCGTTTTGGTCAATAAAAGATAATTATGGCTCTAATATACTGAAGATAATGACAACTATGTTAAGTGCAGACTGAGACAGACGATGGGCAAACATGATAACCAAAATACCAAAAAGATATAATTTAGGCACGCAGTATAGGACAAACTCTCGGTGACAAAAAATGGATCACTTTCCAGATTGGGTCAGTTGAATAGATAAGGACACTCTCTTAGCTTTTACTTGCAGTTTTTTTTTAATTGACATGAATGCAATTGCAATTGCTTGCAAATTTTGAAGGAAATCCTCCAGATGGTATTTATAATAATTTGAAGTAAATGCTTTTGCTTTTTGAGTATAAGCATATCCTTCAAAGCAGTGACATAAGTAAAAGGATATTCATAATCTTCACTTTATACTTGGCATAGGAAGCATATCCTTCAAAAAGTCTGAGTGTGGTCATTTACGAAAACACCAGGCTATCGCTAGCTCTTGGATTTTCAAAATTTCCGTCTACAATAGCCATTTTATAAGAGGGTTATCTCATAAATAAGGTTCCCACATTTTTTAAGGCACAAGGATTTTTTTACATATTCGAAATAACGAATTTACCATTGGAAACGTTGGCCTTTAAGCTATTTTTGTACATAGTCGCCATTTTTTTCTACGCATTTTTTACGTGGAATCCACTTGTTCACTCAAATGCAAATCTTCGTCCGTCTCGAACCATTGACCGCCTAGGTGCTCCTTCAATTTTGGAAACGCTGTCTCAGCTTTTTCAGAAGCTTCAACAGCCTGTTCTCGTGACTCACCGATCTTCGAGCAAGATATGCTCAATATTCGCCATAACTTCCTCAGAGATCGACGGCCTCCCGCTTCGTTGTTCATCGTGGATGTCCATGCGACCGTCAAAGAACTCCCTTCACCATTTGAGGACATGTTGAATGCTTTTATACATGTTTCCCTTATACTTCACTCAACTGGCGAAGAATTTCTATGGGTGGTAAGGTTTTTGCGTGCAAAAATCGAATGGCCACACGAATTTCGCACCTGGCGGTGACGGCGATGAAGGGCTCTATTGCGCATGGCTGACAGGCCAGTTATGAGCGTCGCCAATAGACGCTTCTTGTTGGGATTGGTGGTGGGGGAACCAACAAACACGATGGTGTTGCCAGATTTCGCCTAGCATCACGCGCGGCAGTCACAGTGTTGGAAACCATATTTTGAGACAACCCACATATTATTAGGGTGCTGATAGACGTAAAAATACAAAACACAGTCCACTCAATGGATTTTTTGAGGTTTTTAGTTGAATGCGTTTAAAATACTGTATGTTGAAAAGTTGACCTATTCACTTTGCGCCTTTTCTGATTTTCATTTGATTTTGATTGTGTTTAAAATATCATTTTTTATTTATACGTTTATTTTCAGGTATACACGGTGTAAAGTTATGGGTGGATCAAGGGAAGTCGGATGACAGAGCGCTTCAGCACCCTATTTTTATAACTCATGAGATATTTGCAATTTTGAGAAATTAAAAAAAAACGGGATTATAAATTTTCAAGCTCAAGTACATTTTAACTATCAGATCTGGGGCTCATTTTTTTCGGGTATGGGATAAATGATTGGTCTTATCAATTATATCATTTTGTAACGGAGCTAAAAATTAATGCAAAAACTTTTGAATTCATGTACCTTTCCTGGGCGTTGAGTAGGTAGAGGTGTACCCATACTATAGCCTCCAAGGTCACCAGATTTTTATCCTCTAGATTTTTCATATGCGGGTTTTAGTATCGACCAACTGCGCCAGAAAATTACTGGAGCAAAAATGAAAATTATGGAAAACGAAGATTCATTTCAGAGACTAAAAGGAAATTTGATTAAAAACTGTCACTTGTGTATAGAAAATATTGGAGGCCATGAAGTGTTTTTTTGTCTACCGCATCACAATGACGAATGTGACATGAGAAACTTATCGTAGCATGATAAAATATTCAAGGCTGATTCTAAATGGATTGCAATAGTTTTTACAATATAATGCATAATAAAAGACAAACTCATTTTTTCAGACCGCCCTTCAAAGTTAAGGGATAGAAGATATTTTCCTCGAAAATACAGTATTTTAAGCGCACTCCAAAAATCCATTCAGCGGGTCCGAGTTGCAAGGTTCAAACCTAAAAACACTCCACTATGTTGAAAGCGCAAGGTACTGGTTTGCCGGTGG